GCCTGAGAGCATTATGAACAGTGTGTATTAATACACTAGATACACACAGCAGCCTGTGAGCATTATGAACAGTGTGGTATTAATACCTAGATATCCACACAGCAGCCTGTAGAGCAGTATGAAACATGTGTGTATTAATACACTAGATACACACAGCAGTCCTTGGAGAGCAGTCATCGAACAGTGTGTATTAATACACTAGATACACACAGCAGACTGTGTAGCAGTATGAACAGTGTGTATTAATACACTAGATACACACAGCAGCCGTGAGCAGTAATGAACAGTGTGTATTAATACACTAGATACACACAGCAGCCTGAGAGCAGTATGAACAGTGTGTATTAATACACTAGATACACACAGCAGCCTGTGAGCAGTATGAACAGTGTGTATTAATACACTAGATATACACAGCAGCCTGAGAGCAGTATGAACAGTGTGTATTAATACACTAGATACACACAGCAGCCTGTGAGCAGTATGAACAGTGTGTATTAATACACTAGATACACACAGCAGCCTGAGAGCAGTATGAACAGTGTGTATTAATACACTAGATACACACAGCAGCCTGTGAGCAGTATGAACAGTGTGTATTAATACACTAGATACACCAGCAGCCTGAGAGCAGTATGAACAGTGTGTATTAATACACTAGATACACACAGCAGCCTGAGAGCAGTATGAACAGTGTGTATTAATACACTAGATACACACAGCAGCCTGAGAGCAGTATGAACAGTGTGTATTAATACACTAGATACACACAGCAGCCTGTGAGCAGTATGAACAGTGTGTATTAATACACTAGATACACACAGCAGCCTGAGAGCAGTATGAACAGTGTGTATTAATACACTAGATACACACAGCAGCCTGAGAGCAGTATGAACAGTGTGTATTAATACACTAGATACACACAGCAGCCTGAGAGCAGTATGAACAGTGTGTATTAATACACTAGATACACACAGCAGCCTGAGAGCAGTATGAACAGTGTGTATTAATACACTAGATACACACAGCAGCCTGAGAGCAGTATGAACAGTGTGTATTAATACACTAGATACACACAGCAGCCTGTGAGCAG